TCCACAAGGCTCCTGCTTACGATGCCGTAATGCTTCGACAATCCATCAAGCGGTGCGGGTTCATAGCTTAGCAAAGTTGTACTAAAACATTTGACACATTTTCGAGCGCCGTGTACCACATAAAATCATTTCGAGGTCAGTAAACACAACCAGAATTCAGTTGCAGCTTCTTAACGTTGCCCAACATTATACCAGTATTACCGTGAATGGTATGATATGGCCCAGCCTTAGTCCCAGGTATTTAAAACCTAGTGGGAGCTGTCCATTAAGAGGATCGTTGACCCACTTTAGGGACTACTTAAGTGAGTCAATGATCATTGACAAGCCATGGTGTGAAAAAAAAAGGCTATGGGTCATTATCATAAGAGATTTTGTGTGAAAGCATTGGGAGACCCTGGCTCAGCCCATCATGTGCCTACTGAAATCACCTCACCGGTTTAGACATTTCTGCTCAAAGATAGTCGTTTACCCCACATATCCACATCACAATACAACCCCTTCACACATGTGTGTGACGCGCGCGCACGCACGCACGCACGCACACACACACACACACAAATGGCGAAATGTAAATTATGTAACTGGGTAAAAACAAATGTTTTTTTCTCTTTTTCTACGTTTTCAATTCCGTTGCGTGCTTTGTCTCCACACTACTTCCTGTTATTGGGGGAGAGCGGTGCGCACAGTCCCTTGGCCTTACAGATCTGCAGGTCCGCAGAGATCTAAGCAAAAGCAAATACTGAGCGAGGGGCTGTGTAAATGGATAAAAGCAAACACTGAAATAAGTTTTTGCACGCAGCAGTGAATTTTGTTCGCTAAAAGTTAGCCTTTCTTCGCTCAAAAAAAGTTTATCCTCAAAAAGCAACACTCGTGCTGGCAAATTCTTTTTACGTGCGCTCAGACGAGTGGCACAAAAATAACGCCATGGTAGACGGTGAGTAAATCTAAAAACATATCTTCGCTTTTCTTTAAAACTCCCGCCTTTGTGCTCAAGCGTTCTTTTTTACCAGTGGTTGTCGTTCATAAGTCCTGCAGGGAAAGACGTAGGATACACGTTTCGTAGAGGATCTTTTAACATGACAGTTTTACATACCTGTTATCTCAGATATCCAATAGTCTGCATTCACGGATGATTTCTTCATCGGGCTTTAGTAAGGTTTTAGATTTCATCGCCTGCTGCACCAAGTCTCCGTAAATTCTACTGCGCCGAACAGCGATAACACCGCGTCACTTCCGTTTTTCTTCTTCTTCTTCTTCTTCTTCTTCATTGTGTTTCCGGCAGGCTAGTCGGAAACTTGTACTAGCGCCCTCCCAATGATTCAAGTTAAGCACTGTCTCATTTTACATCGCGGGTCTCATAAAGATAATGATGAGATAATGGGTTTCATGTCTTGTTAGTTGTTTCCCTCCGTGCTCTGTGCGCAGGCTGCCCCACTCACCCCAGCACTGTTAGTATGCAAATCAGAGCAGAGCAAAATTATGCAGCCAATCTCTATCGTCACAATGTAACTGACAGTGAATTATTTTAATGTTTTAATTTTGTATTTGTTTTAAATATTTTTTTTAATTTTTCCTTTAGTTGCGAGACTTTGTTTTAAACTTGGTGTAGCGGAAGTAACGCTCAACACGGACTGTGCCTAAAGTGGGTGGACCGCAGGTTTTGACTCTTGCCACCGCCTTGAAGCTGGACTCAGGTATATAAAGAACACATGTGAAAGTATTGTGGTTAAGCTAAATGCAATTTATCAACCTACCTTTAAGGTGAAGTGCAGCTGTGAAGAACGCTACGGCAGGCGTTTAATGTGACTCTGTTAATTTGAGTTTCCATGAAATGAATGTCTTATTTTATTCATACTTTATTTTGCAAATTTATTTGAGAATTAGGCCATTTAATTAAGATAGATTTTATGTTGTTGGTTGTAAAGATCTGGATGGAGATTTTTTTTTATTCTGTATTTCTATTTTTCAGTTTTATTTTTCAAGACTTGATTTATTGCCTTTTTCTTTGTAACTTGGCCTACTTTTTAAAGTTTTGTTAATATTCACATTTCTCTCTGCCCCCTCGCCTGTCTAGAACCGGCTCAGATGGTGTTACTGATCTGACAGAAGTAAACAGTAAATCACAGTTTCATACTCCTAAAGAAACCAAGCAGTAACTGTCTGCGGATTTTGCGAAAACTTATTTGATACTCTTCTGCAGTAGAGTCCGAAGATAACATGATCCTGAGAATGAGTTTGTCTTCTATGCTTTGTAAGGACCTTGAGTAAAGGTGCCCACAAATAAAGTGCAATAATAAATTATTATTATTATTATTACTACTACTACTACAGAGTACTGTGTGAGAAATTATTCTTAAAATAGAGATAAAGACTAACCGACTGTCACCTCTGTAACATAAAACCACTGTCTTTGAGTAAGACCTGGCTTTTTCAATGTAATTGAGATCTCTCTATCACCCTTCAAATTAATGCAGGCTATTGGTTTGGTCTTCTGAGGTGAATAAATTCTAAAATATCAGCGAATTTATTTCATACTTCTATTCTTTTTTCTGATGATCAAAACCCCAATTTTGAATATGCACAGACTCTTTTCAATCAGTGTATCATTAATTCTTTAATTTTCCAATGGACAATGAAACCAGGTCTCGTAAAGCAGACAAATTGAATTTTAAAATTAAATTTGTTCCAGCAGCCCTTTTTTACATTTCATATTTTTGATCCAAATCTAAAATTGAAATAATTCAATTCAATTCAATTCAATTTTATTTATATAGCGCCAAATCACAACAAAAGTCGCCTCAAGGCGCTTCATAGATACAGAGAAAAACCCAACAATCATATGACCCCCTATGAGCAAGCACTTTGGCGACAGTGGGAAGGAAAAACTCCCTTTTAACAGGAAGAAACCTCCGGCAGAACCAGGCTCAGGGAGGGGCGGCCATCTGCTGCGACCGGTTGGGGTGAGAGAAGGAAGACAGGATAAAGACATGCTGTGGAAGAGAGACAGAGGTTAATAACAGATATGATTCAATGCAGAGAGGTCTATTAATACATAGTGAGTGAGAAAGGTGACTGGAAAGGAAAAACTCAATGCATCATGGGAATCCCCCGGCAGCCTACATCTATTGCAGCATAACAAAGGGAGGATTCAGGGTCACCTGGTCCAGCCCTAACTATATGCTTTAGAAAAAAGGAAAGTTTTAAGCCTAATCTTAAAAGTAGAGATAGTGTCTGTTTCCCGAATCCAAACTGGAAGCTGGTTCCACAGAAGAGGGGCCTGAAAACTGATCAAAACAAGTACTATTTCCTTTTGATAGGCAATTCAAAATCAAATAATATATATTTGTTCTTTGATTGTCAGTTTAAAAAAAAGAAGAGCGAGTGATCCACTGATTCAGTCACTGTTACAATATGCCTGTGCTCACGTTTTGAATCCAGCAGTTTACAGGGAGCATTTAATAGTGAATAATATTTAATATTAAAAACAAACTCAGATACGTTTAATCTTCCTGAAGTTTTTTTTCCCCAGATAGACTTTTTCTTTATTGTATGTGGATAAAAACTTGTTTGAATTTATTTGTGTTTATGTGAAAACATGATAACTATGCCATTTTCAAATTAAAAAAACATTTCAATACGTAATTTGCATTTAATACTAATGGTTCAAAGAATGTCAGGCTGAATGGTGGGCCCCCACACATTTTCACCTCACCAAATCTGACCTTCTTTGCAAAACGTTTGGACACACCTGTCTTAGAGATCACAGTTCAGAAAAAGAGTTGGTCTCAAAAAGATTTATTTAAGGTTTTATGTAAACTTTATAAACATAACTTTTAAGTGCATATTGAAATTTAAGCCTACATCACAACATATGAATTGATAATGACTCAATATTATTTGTCTTGTGTGTGTCAATTTACAGCTTCTACTCCTGTGTAGTAAAACCTCTTTATTGAATGACAGAGAAATCTAGGCTATTAAACAAAAGCAACAAGCCAAATAAAATTCATGCTTTATTTTGTACAACAAAGCTTAGTTTAGTAAAAACGATTAAGAACTTCAATCTACAGCTGTTTTAAGCTGTTTTATATGTTTTTAGTATCACCTCTACAACTTAAAAGAATAACAAAAGTACAAATACAGACAAATGTAAAATTAGCCGGGCTTGTTTGTCCCAGTGATCACAGTGGCTATGATGTCAGAGGCTTGACCCTGGTAGGGTCTCCCAGGGGCCAGCGATGAGCGATTTAGGTGACCCCTTTGAAGCAAGGAAAAACAAGGGACCAGTTCACCCTGCCCAGGACATGGATACTGGTGCCTATCCCTATGCCAGGCCTAGGGAGGAGGCTTAAGAGAGAACACCTGGTGGGCACGCCTTAACCCATGGGGCTCTTGCAGACTCCGCACCTGCAGAAAGCACTGTAGAGGGCGGGTGCAATGCATTTTGGGTCGCAGTGAAGGGCAGAGGCTCCAGGAGTTGTAACCCTGGCTCATGGTAGGAAAACTGAAGTTGACAAATAGAATGTCACCTCTCTGGTAGGACATAAATCTGAGCTAGTGCATGAGATTGAGAGGGACTGGATATAGACATAGTAAGGTTCACCTGAATGCATGGCTCAGGCGCTGGAGACGTTCCAGACTCTTCCAAACTCTAGATTCCCCATACACAGAAAGGCAACAGGCAGGGATGGGTATACTAATATCCCACCAAGTTCACTGTCTGTACAATAGGGTTTTCCCAGTGGACGAGTGTGTCTTTTCCCCTGCACCTTTGGGTCAGGGAACAGGTCCTGGTCCTGATTATAGGTGAATGACAGTTCAGAATATCCAGCTTTATTAAAGTCAGTAGGTGGGGTGCTGGAAAGTGACACATCTGGACAATTTATTTTCCTATTTTTAGACTTTAGTGTGCAATATCATGTAGACATGAACATTAGAGGGGTGTGATTTTTTGTGATGTTTTGTCACTGGACTTTTGTGCCAACCACCATGTCTGAGCATAAGTTATTCGCATAAGTGCATGTGGTACTAGGACACCCCAGGTCAAAGGTCAAGGATAGATTTTGTCAATGTTTTATTGGTGGTCTTGGACACATGAGTGAATAGAGGAACAGAGCTGCCAACTGATCACCACCTGGTGGTGAGATGGATCAAGTAGCAGTTTTCTGAGGAAGCCTGGGCACATTGAGTCTGAGTGGACCATGTTCTGCACCTTCACTGTTGAGGCACCTGCACAGAGCTATGGCTGGGAGTTGCCTGTTATGGGGTAATCCCTGTACAGATGGTGAATAACCAAGGTGAAGGGAGTTGTCAAACTGAAAGAGCTCCTGTGGTTATCCTGTGGGATTCCAAAGGAAACAGATTCCACTGGGCCAAGCAGAGTGTGGCTCTGGAAGAAGCTGAAACAAAATCTCTGGTGCAGGAGTCTGGTTAATCCATGAAACAAGACTTTTGATCTCCCTCAAAGAGATTCTGGCAAACTACCAAGTGACTCAGGAGGGCAAAGTGGTGCTGTACTCATATATGGTGTATAGTATGGGTGGGGTGCTGCTGACTTGAACTGAGGAAACAAGAAATAGACAACCTGAAGGATTTTCTGAATCCCACTGACATGCTTTCTGTACATGAAGTAGAGTCTGGAAACTAGGGGGATGACTTGCCCGTAACTGGGGCTGAGGTCATTGAGGTAGTTAAACAACTCCTTGGTGGCAGGGCTGCTGGGGTGGATGAGATTCACCATGAGTTTCTCAACACTCTGAATGTTGTGGCACTTTCTTGGCTGACACACCTCTCTGCTTTTTCAATCTAAGGCTACAACTCTGACTGGAGTGGTAGCCTAAGAAGGGGGGACTGGAAGATGTGCTCCAATTACAGAGGCAACACATTATTCTGACTCCTGGAAAGATCTATGCCAGGGTACAAGAGAAATGACTGTGTTAATCGAACCACAGGTTCAGGTCCAGCTCTTTATCCTCATAGGAGCATGGGGTATCTGGCTTGTTGTCATCTGGTCTTTAAGTGATGACGTGATGAACCCTGCTTTTAGATCCTAACTGCTCCATGTTTATCAAGGCTGTTGTGTTTTTAACACGTTTTAAGGCTTTGTATCTTGTTCTATGTACACGACTTAAATAATAAAAATAATGTGGCATGCAGCCAATTGAGGTGGCTCAGACATCTGAATAGGATGCCTCCTGAGCTTTTCCTAGGTGAGGTGTTCCAACACAAAGGGGCCCAAGGGCAGACCCGGGCCACACTACAGAAATTATATATTATCGCTAACCTAGAACCTAATGCCTTGGTGTCCCCCAAATGAGCTGAAGCAGGTTGTCGGGATGAGTGATGTCTATAATTCTCTGCCTAGACTGCCCTAACATTTGGCCCTGGAAAAGTGCCATAAAAGGGATGGATGGCTGTAAAATCAGTGTTTTCCTTATACAAAAAAAGGCTAACAATTGGAATAAACAATTCAGAGAGTAGAGTTAATTACTATTCTAGACAGGATATATACCATATTGACCTGAAAATGGTATGAGCGCTTCCTTCCGGCTTTGAAGTGATTTGGTTCCTCATGAACATGTGCTCCACTATTAAACTGTTCCACCTAACAGCTTTCAAACATTATCTAAGAAGGAAGCTTTTAACAAACATGGATTTTCATGTGTCTTCTCAACTGTATCCTATAAGTGAATCTTTTCGCACAGGTGCTACAGAAATATGGCTTTTCACCTGTGTGCGTTCTCATGTGAGTTTTCAAGTTTGTCCTATCACTGTATCTTTTACCACAGAGGTTACAGGAATATGGCTTCTCACCTGTGTGAATTCTCATGTGAGTTTTCAAGTTCGTCCTATCACTGTATCTTTTTCCACAGGTGCTACAGGAATATGGCTTCTCACCAGTATGGACTCTTATATGAGATTTCAAGTTCATCAGATCACTGAACCTTTTCCCGCATGTGCTACAACAATGTGGTTTCTCACCTGTGTGACTTCTCATGTGAGTTTTTAATGCAGACAGGTAACTAAATATTTTTCCACATATGCTACAAGAATATGGCTTCTCACCTGTGTGACTTCTCATGTGAGTTTTTAACGCAGACATGTAACTAAAAATTTTTCCACAAGTGCTACAAGAATGTGGCTTCTCACCTGTGTGGACTCTCTGGTGTTTTGTCAGTTTGTATTTATATTCAAAGGTTTTTCCACAAGTGTCACATTTTAAAGACTTTTTACTTGTGTCAGTTCCACACTGACTCTCTGACACAGGACAGCCGTCTGCTGTGTTACTGTTTCTGTGATGTCCTCTCTTCTCAGGCTTTGCATTTCTTTTTGATCCTGAGTCTACATGCTCACTTTCATCCTCATCTCGACTTTCTGGTTCAGGAGAGTTGTAAGAAAGAAGCTGGTCACTGTTTGGTTCAGGTTCCTCATAAGTAGAAGTCACCATAAAGGTATCAGTCTCGACCTTCAGCACAAGCACCTGACTAGTGCAGAGTTCCTCTGGTTCCTCTTTAATCTGTGGAAGCTCTGGGTCCTCCTGGTCAAGACTCAAGTTGCCCCCCTGGTTAAAAACTTGCTGGTCATCCAGATCCTCCTCTTGCTTACAGACATGTTGTTGCAGGAAGTCTGAAGGGACAAACATAATAGAAAAAACGCATCTGATAAAAGATTATTTTCACTTTAAACATATGAAAATAATAAAACAACTCAAAATTTACATATAAACATTTCTGCCGTGTCAAAAAATAAATAAATAAATAAATAAAAATCAGTGACCAATATAACCACCCTTCTTTTCAATAACTGTCATAACCCTTCAATTCATGGAGTCTGTCAGCGTCTTAATCTGTTGATGACCAACCGCTTGTGCAGCAGCAACCACAGCATCCCAGACACTGTTCAGAGAGGTGTATTGTTTTCCCATCCTGTAAATCTCCCATTTAAGCAGGGCCCACAGGCTCTCAATAGGCTTTAGGTCCGGTGAGGAAGGGGGCCATGTCATTATTTTTTCATCCTTAAGGCTAGCCATTCAGTGGAATACTTCGATGCATGCGATTGTCCTGCATAAAATTCATGGTCTTCTTGAAAGATGCAGATTTTTCCCGTACCACTGCTTGAAGAAAGTGCCTTCTAAAAAAAAAAAAAAAAAATCTTTGCAACAAAATGTTTGATGGTCCTGTGGTCACGCCCCAATATTTGAGCAATTTCAAAAGTGCTGCATCCCTCTGAAAGACCGTACACATTTTTTGAGTTTTAAGAGTCTTTTAAATTTCTCTTTTGGCCCATTTTGCCTGAGGAAGAGAAGCTGCCTAAAAATTATGCACACATTTCTATAAAGTGGTGACATCCTTAGACCACGCCTTCACTCATTACGCAAATAAACATCACCTGATATGCTTAAGTCCAATAAGTTTATACAGCTCAAAGTTTAAAAATATGCATAAAATTATGATATGGCCAAAATACGCTGTTCAAACAATGTTTGACTGCATTGTTCTGGACAGAGATCTTGGATGTTGTTCCGGGGAGCCACTCGCCTAGCTTGAAGGTCACTGCACAGAGTGCTTCCATTACCACTGAGACCAATGTTTCAGCTTCTCAAAGCTTCTCGTTCTCCTTCATCTTGATGTTGCTATCACTTGGTATTATCTACCTTTATTACTATGGCCATTGTCCTCTGCTTGTCCACCACTACTATACCAGTTGGTTAGGACTACTATGATTATATTTAGAAATATACATTTTTGTATTTGATTAAATAGATATAAAATAGCACTTGGTGAAAATTTTATATTTATTCCAAGAGCTGCAGAACCTAAAGTTTTACACTGTCAAGATGGAGGCACATGATCACATTACAGCACGCAGTGATCAAACCCATATTTTGTTCACCACATGAAAGAGCTGTTAAGCATTTATGCACACAGTGTGAATGCTCTCCAATCCAATCAGAACAATGTCATTTGTTTAGAAAGGCTGGACAAGTTTGTAAGTGATCCAATCAGAAGTAATCTTCTTGTGCAGTGACGTTAGATGTGCACATTTAATCTGCACCTGGTAAACAGGTTCGGAGAGTGGGTTTAGCCAACTCCCATACCTCCAGTTTCTAATCAAAATGTGACGAAATCTCAACATTTAGGAAGCAGAGAAGAGTACATGCACAGAGACATTTCAGATATAATGTCAATGAAAATAAGATGCTTTGCAAACCACGTGGAGCAACACTCTTCAGTAAAAACCCAACAAACCACTTTATTGTTTAGTCAATTAAATCAACTTTAGATTTTGTCTATGAAAGTTTTATGATATTTAGTTAACTTAAACTAGACTAAAACAATTTAAATGTCTAAATTATGACCAAAACTGAATGATGTTTTACTTGAATAAAACTAACTCCAAAAAAAAAAAAAAAGAATTTTGAACAAAAATTCAAAAGTTAAAAGATGAATTAAACAAAAAATATTTATCTACGCAACATAACATTTTATTGTTTGTTATTAAAATATTTGAATCTTGTCCTATTTTCGCTGGAATTACATTTCCTATCCTTGGAGTTTTCAAGGCAGTAACAATGTTTTTACTATGTTTACTGACAGTGTTGGTCAAGTTACTTGAAAAAAGTAGTCAGTAACTAATTACTGACTACTTCCCCAAAAAGTAATCCCGTTACTTTACTGATTACTTATTTTCAAAAGTAATTAATTACTTAGTTACTTTTTAAAAACATGATTTACAACCTGAATAGGTGATGAAGCGATAGATCTTTCAGCCCAATTCTACTTTTTCTGCATAATCCATCATACAAAATGTAATCAAAAGGAAAAGTCTCTTTTTAAAACTTGTTTTATTAGTTTTAATCTTTTAACTTTATGCATCAAGCAAAAATTTAATTATATTCAACATTCTCTGACTGGAAAAAAAATTGTTTTAACATTTAAACCTATTTTCTGCACCTTCCAGCACATAAAAATATAATATTTTTTGTGTTTGTACTGAGTCTTTCAAATAAATGCAAGTGGTGCAGGTGTGCCGCAGCGGTCAGTGGAAGAATCCGCGAGTTTCTCTGAATTTCCCATTACGTGGTAGTGTACTGGGTGCTTTCTTGGAAGTTTATGGGGTTTTTTCGCTGTAAAAAGAAGTTTTCTTCCCACGCAGTGCAAAGCGTACGCTAATGTTTTTGTCACTTTTTAGTAAGTAAGGTCAGTACTTCCACGTTTCAAACGCTGCATGCTCATACTCTCTCCTGCACTCGATATATTATCCATTGTTGATCTGCACACAGCTGTTGCCACAAACGTCACACTCGCTTACGTCATTGTCATGAGACACTCTTGCAAAAAAATAAATAAATAAATCACGGTTATAGTAACGCAGTAACGCAGCGTGCTTACGGTAAAGTAACAGTAATCTAATTACCTTTTTTGCAATAGTAATCCCTTACTTGATTACTTGAAAAAGTAATCGGATTATAGTAACGTGTTATTGCCCATCTCTGTTTACTGAGCACAAACATCTAACTGGGAATAAATTAAGTTCCATTTTATGTTATTTTTGGGTTGTACCATTATTTACATTCTCAAGATTGTTTCTTTCTAAACTTTTAGCAACATTTGTGGGTAAATATAAAGAATTTAAAAATGATTCAGCTTCAGTAAGCAAAGAATTGTATTCAGTTTGGACAAAATGCTGCATTAAAATCTAGTCTCACCTCTTCAGTCTAAGAATTTAAGTCAGTTTATCAGCTGACTGATAGAAAGTATAGAGTTAGCTTAGGAAAGGTATAATAATAGAGGTATAATGATACTTGCATTTGGCTCTTAAATTCATCCTCTACCTCTAAAAGTAAAAGTAATTTGGTGTCTCGTTTGGAATCTTACACGAGTCATATTTGTTTTTACTAAGAATATTACATGCCTTTGTCATGTTTTTCACATTTCCAGATTGTATCCAGTAGTCTGAGCCGCTCTTCCCCAGTCCAGACGATGATTCCTTCAGCCTCCTGCTTCACTACAAGCGAGTCTACATCCTGAGTGGTGGAGACTTCCTCCTGTTCCTCTTTAATCTGTGGGAGCTCTGGGCTCTGCTTGTTCAGACTGGAATTTCTCTCCTGGTTACAGACCTGCTGGTCATCCAGACCCTCCTCTTCCTCACACTTCATGTTGTTGTGGGAGGTCTTGAGGGACAAACGGACACAACAAAAAGGTTACTAATGAGATGACAGGGAAACACAAATGTGACAAATGTTTTGAGACAAAATATGAAAACGATAAATAAAGTGGAGGAATGATAAGATTGTTTTTTTATAAATATTTGCGAGATACATCTTACAGGGTTTTTGTATTAACGAGTACTGCAACAGCAGTGAAAAGCTTTCAGCTGCAATATTCTCATTTGGATTTATCTTCACATTATTAGCTCAGTCAGTGTGCACAACTGAAAAGACAGTTCATTTAAGTTCTGCCATGTTTCATCAAATACCAGTATTACTGAGGAACAGCAAAATGTGCAGGTCCACTGTAAACACTTATGGTGAGGACTCTGTCAAGAGTAACATAATAGAGAAAGTTTTGGTGCTCTACTCAAAGCTTTGAGGCATCTACCCGTGCCAATTACACACTCTTTTTGACAACATATCCCATATCGCTTATGTGGTACATGTGGGTTCTCTCCGGGTACTCCAGCTTCCTCCCATATTTCAAAGGCATGCAGTTAGTGGGGTTAGGTTAATTGGTGACTGGTTGCCCATAGGCAAGAATCTGAGTAAGAATGGTTGTCTGTCTCTGTGTGTTAGCCCTGCATCAGGTTGGCGACCTGTCCAGGGTGTACCAAGCTTCCTGCACTACGACAGCTGAGATAGGTTCCAGACATAATCCCACTCTCCGATAACAGACACCAGTGCATTGATGTCTGTTGTGGTGATGAGAGAGCTGAGCGTAAAAGCAAAGCCATCAGTTTATGGTCCCACCCTCACCTACGCATCCATCTCCACATTAGTCGCTCATGAGCTCTGGGTAATGACACATCACATTACAGAGAATAACTTCCTCCCAGAGTAACAAAAACTGTAATTTAATGACATCCGGAATCCGTTTCTGACCTTGGTCAGACACCTGGGGCTGAAGCCATGCACATCTCCACAAACACATAAGAGATACACAACAGGTTACTGCTGTTATGTGGTTGTTTTTTCACCATCAGTGGTGTCATTTTTAGTAATATATTATTTTTATTGCTGTTATGACTACTGTCAAAATAAATTTCTCTTCAAATTCACATTGTAATATAAGATAGCATATCATAATAGGTATATAAGATATAATATAATCTATACAAATTTACATAAATGACATTGCATAAATTTATATTACATATTATAGTCTAAGGAGCTTGGAAAGAAAAGTGTCTGGACTTCTTTAAGTTGCTTGAAGACGTTTCACCTCTCATCCGAGAAGCTTCATCAGTTCTAGGGTCAAATGGTGGAGAGTTCCAGATTTAAGCCCTGTGGCAGTAACCCTCGAGAGGGACAAAAAGACCCCCTAAGATCCTCTACCTAATCACATAACATATTACATATTATACAACACATTGGGTAAATTCCCTGCTTATAGAGTCTAGGGGAAACCAGCAAGTGCCATTAACTGGTCTAGACTGGTTGCTCTTAATGATCTGTTACTCTATATTTTTCACATGTTTGTACAGGATATTGTATTTGATTTAATTGTTATGTGCTTATGTGGTACATGTTTTTTGAGTTTTGCTGCCATGATGCCAGGACTCTCTTTGAAATGAGATTTTTTACCTGGATAAATAAAGGACTATTAAATATAAGTATAGATGTATACGTATACAGCATTATAATTTATTGAATACATAACAGAAACATTGCTGAAATGGCGAATATTGAACCCCTTGTTAACCTCGTTTATAAGAACCCAGCTGCGGGTTTTGTAGTCCATCTCTTGCACAGTCTGGAGTCACTGCAGCTCTCTGAACTGTGCTTCTCTTTTAAAGTGCTTATTAATTCTCATTCACACCTTTAATCGGCCTCGTTACGCTTTCCTTCAAGGTCGAGGAAAAGTAGCTAGAATAAGGAGACATAATAGGAGGTATTTCAGGACTATCTGGACCTGCCCCACTTTCTCTGTACGTATCTTTGATTTAAACGTGTAAAGCCGCCTTTTTACTAGTCACGCCCCTCCCGTGTCTCACTGAACTTCGGGCTGAAAGGTTTTCATTAAAAAGAGAGCGAGAGAAACTTGTGTTATTCCTATTATAAACAGCTCGTAGCTCCTTGCTGGTTTGAGATCTGAGCCTGCAAACTGAGCTCTGATCAGGGTCCTACAGGAGTCGTATTCCCGCGTTAGCTCATTGACGCCGTTTTACACACCTGTGTGACGTTATCTCGGATATCCAACAGTCTGCTGATCTCTTCACTGATGTCTTTTCAATTTCTGAGATTTCTTCGGCTGCAGTTCGTCTCTCCTTAAACTCTCGGACACTGAAGACGCTGCTAAATAGTAAGAGTCGCGTCACTTCCGCTTTCCTTCTTCTATTGCATTTACAGCAGACTAGACCCATCAAAGGTGTGTTGCTGCCCTCCTTACACAAAAAAGTCCTGTATTTTTGTGCTTCAAAGCTCTTTTCGACAGCAACCTTTTTTCACGGCGGAAAAAGGATAAACTGCATGTATCATTTCAAATTCTCAAAGACTGCTGGCATCGCTACCAGAACACTGTTAAAGAGGCAAAAAGGGAATATTTTGCAAATATTATTTCTTCCAACTGTCATAACCCACGTGTGTTATTTAGGACCATTGACACTGTTCTTAATACTCCTTTGAATGTCTGTTTGGAAGTTTCTCCTGAGATTTGCAATGATTTTCTGAACTTTTTTATTGAAAAGGTTGTCACCATCAGGGCTCTTATCACAGCTCCTGACTCTGACCCCTCTGTCTCTGTCCCTTGCGCTGCTGTTTTCACTCAGTTTGAGCTTGTGACGCTCTCCTCTTTAGAGGATGTGGTTCGCCATATTAAGCCCACAGGTTCCCCACGGGATCCTGTCCCTCCACAATTCTTTAAAGAAATTTTTCCTAGTATACAACAGTATGTCCTTGACATTATTAACAGCAGTCTGTCTTCTGGTGTGGTTCCTGCAAATTTCAAACATGCAGTAGTACAGCCACTGCTTAAGAAACCTGGCCTTGATCACACAGTTTTAGCGAACTATAGGCCTATTTCCAAGCTGCCTTTAGTCTCCAAGGTTTTAGAGAAAATTGTTTTTAGTCAACTGAAAGATTTTCTTGATGAAAATGGAATCTTTGAGGTTTTTCAGTCAGGTTTTAAAACCCTTCACAGCACAGAATCTGCATTACTAAGGGTTTTTAATGACATCCTTCTGGCATGTGATTCTGGTAACCATGTTGTTCTTGTCTTGCTTGACCTAACTGCTGCCTTTGACACAGTAGACCACAATATTTTAATTTCTCGATTACATGATGTAGTGGGTATTGGTGGCACTGCACTCAATTGGTTTAGGTCTTATTTGTCAGATAGAACTTTCTCTGTCAGCCTTCTCGGTTACGAATCGTCTTCTGCTCCTCTGTCATGTGGTGTCCCACAGGGCTCAATTTTAGGGCCACTGCTCTTTTCTCTGTATCTACTGCCTCTGGGTTCTATCCTTAGAAGGCATGGGATCTCATTTCACTGTTATGCCGATGACTGCCAAATTTATTTGACACTAAAACGCAAGGATGCCATCTCCATAAAACCTCTCTTGACATGTCTAGATGACATTAAAGCTTGGTTGGCTCGAAACTTTTTAAATTTTAATAAAAAGAAAACAGAAGTGTTGGTGTTTGGACCCAGTGGTCCCTGTGAGTCCTCCTCTGTTGTTTTAGGATCCCTGGAAGTCTATTTTAAATCTGTTGTTACTGACCTTGGTTTTAAGTTGGACAGTGATTTTAAATTGGACAACCAAATCAGAGCAGTGGTGAAGTCCAGTTTTTATCATTTAAGGCGACTGGCAAGACTAAAATCTTTTCTTTCGAGGCAGCACCTTGAAACAGTGATCCATGCTTTTATTTCTTCCCGCCTGGACTACTGTAACTCACTTTATGTGGGGGTCAGTCAGTCATTGCTCTCACGTCTGCAGCTGGTTCAAAATGCGGCTGCACGACTCCTAACAGGAACTCGAAAAAGAGAGCATATAACCCCCGTGCTGGCCTCTCTGCACTGGCTGCCTGTGTCTTTTAGAGTTAATTTTAAAATTCTTATGTTTGTTTTTAAATGCCTACACAGTCTTGCCCCGCCTTACCTCTCTGAGCTTCTTCATCCCCACATACCCTGTCGGTCTCTCAGGTCAGCTGACCAGCTGCTCCTGGAGGTACCGAGATCCAGGAGGAAGCTCAGAGGGGACAGGGCCTTCTCTATTGTGGCTCCAAAATTATGGAATAATTTGCCCATGCATGTTAGAGAGGCCCCTTCACTGTCCACTTTTAAATCACGTCTTAAAACCCACTTTTATTCCTTGGCTTTTAACCTCAGTGAGACTTAGTTTCTTTTTTTAATGCAGTAGTTATTTAATTAATGATTTCACTCTTCTTTTATTTGTTTTTTATTTATATCTCATGTAATTTTATTTTACAGTTCCAATGTACAGCACTTTGTGTCAGCTGTGGTTGTTTTAAAGTGCTTTATAAATAAAGTTGATGATGATGATGATGATGACGGCAGCATATAGAATAAATCCAATAAAAAGGATATATAGAACATAGGACGTACTAAATTGACTTTTGCTACGGTGTTTGAGTGTAATTATGACTAAAAAAATGCACATTTGCCTTTTTGCGGCATATTTTAGTAGAAATGTTATATGTTATGTTTTATGACACAGTGCACTTTATTATAATGTAACCTTTATTATAAAGGACTTGTCCTAAATACATGGCAAATTGTCAAATGTATGGACAAACTAAGGTGCAATGCTTTACCTTCCTCTCCATCCCTGTTAGCAGGATGAAGGCAACCTCTTGTGTTGTGCATTCTTGGTTTTCAAATTTCAGTTGTTAACCTCAGTGTAAAAGCTTCACTGTGCCTTCGGCAGCTTCAACATCATCAGTAAAGAGAGATTTAAATATGTGTAATATCACACTGTGTCAATTTGTTCACCGGAGTCACAAGCTGTAACACTGATGCTGCGTTAAGGGACCATGGGAAAGATGGGAGAGACAAGTGTCCTCTACAAAAGCCCTAAAACCCTTCACTGATGAAAACTGTGGATTAACTTCAACCCAGAAAGTTCAGGAAATCAAAAATCAACTTTAGGTGTCAAATGAATAAATGTGGAAAGCCATTAACTCTCCTGGGGTTTGAGCTTTGATGCAGCTTTAGTGTAAGCCATGGATTTACTGGTCAATCTATGGTTCCACCCTCACCTAAGGTCATGAGCTCTGTGTAGTGACTGAAAGAATGGGATCACAGATACAAGCAGTGTAAATGACTTTTCTCCAAAGGGTGGCTAGTTTCTTCCATAGTGATAAGGTGAGGAGTTTGATCATGTGGTGAGAACTAGTACAGTTGTAAATAAAATACTACATTTTTAATTGGAAATCAAAAAGCTCACTATGCATAAATGACTATATTAATTTTCATTGAGAACACATCATATTAGAGAGAATAACTTCCTTCCGGACAATAAACTGTAACCTGACGCTCTGGTCACGTCTATCGCGTTCGGTGTGGACGTCTATTGGGAAATCTGAAATCGGAGCCTCTTTCACAGAGTTCTGCCGGAGGTTTCTTCCTGTTAAAAGAGAGTTTTTCCTTCCCACTGTCGCCAAAGTGCTTGCTCATAGGGGGTCATATGATTGTTGGGTTTTTCTCTGTATCTACTGTACAATATAAAGCGCCTTGAGGTGACTTTTGTTGTAATTTGGCGCTATATAAATGAAATTGAATTGAATTGAATCGAATTGAATCCAGTATTCCCTGTTACAACCTTTCTCCTCAGTCTGCTGAGTATCTTTGTCAACAGCAGCTGAGTGTGAGAATGGATTATGCACTCTGATAACAAGTGCAGCAACATTTTGCAATGCTCACAAAGTTTCTCCCTAAAGATTTTCACTTAAATGAAAAGTCTTTCCCTTTTGACCATCTCTGAATCGAGGAGGGGGGCCTGAGGGTACATCTTTCGCCATCTTGCAATGCTGTGATTGCAGCCATTCCCCAACTCTCTGTGAATGGTACTCATGGCCATTGATCAGTGGGCTTTGATCAAGGGTTGGTGATCAATGGTCATGAGAATTTGCATAATCATGATGAAGGAACTGACCTCCCAGTCCGTTGTTCCTACAGCGGATCCAGTCATTATGCAAATGTACTGTTTATAAGATTAGGAAAACCTGCAGTCAGCTGAGACTGAAGAAGTCACTTGGATGAGCGACGAGACGTTTCTCCCACTGAAAACGATACGTCCAGATGAACAAAATCAACCTTTGAAGATTTACCTAAGTGGATGTTTGAGAATGCATCAAGACGTAAAAAGCTAATAAAATGGTAAAAAAGGACTTCCTGCGGATACTTTTTGTGTTTACTCGTCTGCAGCTCCGTCAGCATGTGTAAAATGCTCTTGTTTCAGTTGCTCTAATTTTAGTTTCTGCTAAAGAGGGGATCATGTTCAGCTCAGCTTGTTTGATTTTATTTCAAACTGATACTGAAGTGTGTACTTAAATCGATAGAAAGCAGAGTTTCACTGGTCTGGCCCACTCAAGATTAAAATTTGGTTTATGTGATTGACGACGTAAAATGAGTTTGAGATCTCTGTCATTCACTATTCCTTTAAGTCAGTGCTCAATGTGAATCATTAGGGGGCGCTAGTACGCCTTTCAGTCCAATCTGCCAGAAAAGCAATAGAAGAAGAAAAAAACGGACGTGACGCGATGTTTTGGCTGTTCGGTGCAGTATGAGAGAGTTAAAGGTAGTGATGGGCAGATGAAGCCCCATGAAGCACTGAAGCTTTTCATCCAATTGGTTCACCCCAACGCGAAGCTTCATTTGCTCTAGCAGGACACCTACTGGACGTAAAAATAATAGCTGGCATGAATTTGAAGAGTGTGGCCTTTTGCACACAGCCTGTAAATGTCAACAACAAAAGGAGTGTGTAAAACATGTATATTGTAGTGATGGCAGTATACTGTGTATATTTATAGTGGCAGTATGGGAAATGATTATTTGGAAATGCTTATTTGGAAATGCTTGAAATGGAAATGATCATTTACTGTGAGGTGAGGTGTGGTTGGGGTGTGGACAGTGGTTGTGCTTTTGTAACGTTGAGGTATGGACAGCTACACAGTCCTGCCTGTTCACATTTTATTCTGTAAAAACTAAATTTTCACTGCTTTTATGACCTTTTTAGTGGGGAGAACATAGCTAGGATTTAATGATTTAACAAATCTTTTGAATCCTTTGTCCTCCACAATGCTAAATGGCTGGGAGTCCTCAATCACCATGCTAACAGGTCTTCATCT